TAGATTGACAAGCATGGGGCAGTGGTTAGAGTGGATCCTGGGGAAGTGTGTAATGCTAGCTTTAAGGTATTCATTTACCCATTGGTTATTAGCAAAACACCTGTCAATCCTTTCTAGAATTAGGCAAGACCTATTTTTATATCGCTTATTTGACTAAGTATATTTGCTACCTTTAAACCCTAGGTCCACTAGGTGACAACTATTAATACAATTCCAAAATAAGTTACTCATGTGGGTATTGATAGGGTTTCCCCCAAACTTGTATCTTGCTTTCAGGACTTCATTGAAGTCTCCACCCACAAACCAACTCCCTTTGTGGTTATTTGAGATATCAATTAAGTTATCCTAGAGGGACTTTCTATCCTCAATGTAATTACTAGCATAAATTGCAGAAATTAGCCAAGGAGGGTTTCAAGGTAATACCTTAACCATTGCATGGATACCCTGGGAATTAACAATCACTTCATCTACTTGGAGGGAAGATTCCCTCCATAATATCACTATACCTCCAGAATGGCCTACAACAGGGAACTGGATATGCATATCATATTGAAACTCCTCAGTTAGCCTTTTATGATCAGCCATTTTGGTCTTTAGGAGTACCAACATCGCGGGCTTGTGCATTTTAACAATCTCCGAGCAATGCCTCTTAAACTCCGCACTGTTTGCCCCTCTAACATTCCATATTATGAATTTTATTAGACGATTTAGGGTTGGAGGGCTGTTGCTCGTTGATGCCTTGTCCCTGCCCTGGGCTTGCATCATTTCTCTTCCCATGTATTGAGATTGTTGGGATCTCATCACTGAGGTTAAAGTTAGGAGAGGTTTAAGGGTACCTTGACTCTGATGAGATGAGAAGTCCATGCCGCACCTGACTAGGTTCTTGGGGCATGGGAGTATCAATATATCGCTGTGGTCCACGCTGAACTCCACCGCTCGAACTGCTTCCAGCCATAGTGAATCCACCCTTACTAGATTGTCGATTGGGTTGTTTCCTGTTCCATCGTCACCTCATGATTCTTCAGTAACTCCAAGGCTTTTGATATTCCTTTGGAGATATTCCACAAAGGTGATTACTGTTGTTTCTCCAGAGGTGGTTGTTGTTGATTCTCTTGCACTGAAAATGAAGCTTTCTTGGGTGATCCCTGCTGGAGGATCTTGAACTGTGGGGTTGCATAGGGGTCCTCTACTGATGGATCTGGGAAGAATGGCATGCTGTTGAAGATCGGTTGCATCATGTTATGGACCGATGAGTCGCTGTTTTGTTGCATGTGACTTGGGTTTCTCTGTGCTATCACTGCCTGCCATAGCTGCGCTCCAAACATCCCCAAACCCCTGTTTAGGGCTTCTGCAGTTACCCTTGCCAGAAGAGCCAGGTTCTGTCTGATTAGAGATATTGGTTGATCGCCCAACTGAAAATTGTAGCATAGGGCTTGGCCATGGAGGGCTAGTTCCAACCACGACGCTCGTATGTGGTCTGGTGGTGGTGGGGTGGAGGTTAGGAAGACTGTAGGGTTGGTAATAGGTTCCATTTTTGGGTTTCTTCTGTCTGACCTTTTTTGGGTTAGTAATAAGGGGTGGGTTATTGGGGTAATCACATGTTTTTGGGGGGTTGTGGAAGTGAATCGACGGTCATGCTTGATGTTTTGGGGTCTGTGTCTTATACACAGATTATGGGATTATTGTGATATCCGGTTGAGTTGATGGGTTGCGCCAAATCACTTAAAATCTTTTGATTTCTCAGCTTTGGCTCTTGAGCTTTCATGGAGTGGTTTTTTCCGGTTGGTGTTGGTAGAGAAGACGTAGCGTTGTAGGAATCATGATTAGGGTCCACCGTGAAGCCTAGTTGTTCAGTTGCGGGGGAGGACCCGGTCTGAATTTTCTGACTTTCCCCTTGGCCCTTTGGTTTAGTTGACTTTGGGTGTAGGGTATTGTCCATTGGATTCTGCTTGGTGTGTGGGGGGTTCAATTTGTTTTTGGCTAGGGGCGTATGCCCTTTTTCAATATTTGGGTGTTGGTCAGCAGGGCCTGGGTCCGCCTTCATCTTCACACTTGTATTGGGCCTTTCTTTTGTGGGCTGCCCGGTTGTAGCTTGCTTTTCTCATTGTGGTTTTTTTGTGTGTTTATGGGCTGGGCTTGGTCCATGTCCTGTAGAGGGTTAGATTTAGAGGTGTATCGAAATGTCTGAGTGTCAAGAAACTTACCGGATACAACATCGAACATTCTGACTTTGATGCCATCTGATTTTGCTGTTGGTTTGCCCTTTCTACTCTGGTCCGTTGTTGTACTTTGCTGTGTGGGGTTTTACTTTTTACGCCTTCTTGGAAATGAAATAACTTTCCATTCCTCTTCTTCCTCACTATCTTGTTTTTGACATGGGTCACCGTTTGGCTTTGTATTTGAGCACTCTGGGTTATCTTGCGTATTTGTTGTTTGATGTTGTTTTTGTCTGTGTGAGCATCCTCTTATAGTATGCCCTATCCTTCCACACCCAGTGCACAGTACGTTTTCTCCTTCATAGACCACCAATTGTTTATGGTCCTCTATTGTAACAGAGGTAGCAACTGGTGTTTCCAAGGGTACTTGGATACATATTCTGGCATATCTACCTCTCAGTGTAGCGGAGGTGCATGTATAAATTTTTAGAAGCTTCCCAAGTTTTCTGCCTACTTTCTCTAGGACTTCTTTGTCGTAGAATTCAGTGGGTAGTTGTGGGAGGCGTACCCAAATTTTGGGTATGTTTGGTATTTTGGGTGGGTTTTCCATTAGCTTCGTTTTAGTGATGGATGAGAGTTTCTCTCTCTACAAATACTAGCCAACACTCTCTAAGTTTTCAGGATATCATGTGATGGTAATTGATACAATTTAAAAAATATGAAGTAAAACAATTACAAAGCTGATATTCTATCTCAAGCATGAGAATTCATGATATCTATATATACACCCGTCACCTCACGTAGGGACAACTATATGTAAAATATTACTTTTATAATAAGATTGATGTAGTTTTTAACATTTTAAAACTTTTAAAAAAAGAATCAATATCGATTTTATTCCAAAGATTACATGAGTTACTTTTTAATTCGAACTGGTAATAGTTTTGGACGAAAGGAGAGTACGTGTTAGAACTGCATGTTTTTTCCAACGCTCCCGTGTACATGAAGTCACTAAACTCACAAGTCAACTAATTAACATACATTGATTTTCTTCACAAAAGTGACTTTACAAAAATGTTCGACCATTTGGAGTCTTATTCCAAAGCTAATTTGTAGTCAGATATTTATCTTAATAAACTTTGTAAATTGTCCAATATTTTTTTTTGAAATAACATATAGTCGCCCAAGACCCAAGTAATTAACATGATTGTGACATTTAGCAAAAGCTAGTTTATTACTTCCTTTATCTAAATAAGAAACAATGACAAAGTTTTATAGTGTGAGAATCTGTACATTTAATTCCAGTGGATTCCAACATTAATTTGTTTTCATTTTAAAACAAAACTTACTTGTTTAGAAACGGAAAGTTAATAATATTGTAAAAGTATTTATATTTATACTATATTAAAAGCACGAAGGCCCTTAGCGAAATATCGTTCGCCTTTTTTACCCTTTAAAAATAGGTTTCACGTTAGATAAAATTGTAATTTAATTAACTTTCCTAATATCTAGCACTTTAAAATCAACTAAAATTTTGACTATTAAATATTTTCTTATTGAACTAGGTAAAAAGTCCTAATATTTAGGACCTAACATTTAAGAATTTAAAACCAAATAAGATTTTACTTAAGTAAATTCTTTCCTTATTTACTTCATAATTAATTTGTCTTCGTTAGATTTCTTACGTTTATGTTTGTTCTATATAAAGTTTAGGTTTGGTTTATATAAAGGTTGATTCCCATTTAAATTCTATCATTAAATCTATCTTTTCCTTATATAATTTTTTAATTTAAATTTTTAATATCTTACGTCTTATTTTTACTTTGGGGGAAATTATTCTTGCATATAATATATTTTTCATCAACTCCTTTTAAAAGTATAACGTTAAATATGAAATTATTTTCATAATATATTTAAATTCTAGAAAAAAGGTCTATAGTTTCTATTCTATTTACTATTTAGTTAAAAATAAAATAAAGAATATAGTATTATTCTATTGTATTCTTTTATTTATGTTATTCCTTATACAGATATGAATATATACAATAAGTTTTATTATCTTCCATAAGCCAATTTTGTATATTTTTATACTTATTTTATTTAATGTGTAAGAAGCTATAAGCGATTATTAGAATACATAGAATTTTTTTTTATATTATGCTAGCTGGCATAAAGGACCAATGCACAGCTATGGACGAAAGGGTAGCCTCATTTCGCCTTACCAACCCCATGTAAACTCCGAATACATGCCTAGATTGTTTGTACAGATAGACTTTTTGGGTGCTAAAAATCCAAAGTCGAAAGGAAAACAGCTCAAAATCAAACAATAAAGAGGTATAAGATTATCATTTTCAGTATTAGGTAAACTATGGTATATTATTTTAATAAAATTATAAAATTGGGAGAAATATTAAGTTGAATATAGTAATTGAGATGCATGATTGAGAATCTCTATGAGGTAGAATTTTTTTTCTTAAGTAATTGGCTAAATTAGATCAACTATTATTATTCTCAAGAATTATTTTTTTGTAAAATTTTATTTTTGTAACTCAATAACAAGTATATAATTCGTTGACAGTTACACGCCCAAACTAAATGAACAAAGAATCATATTATTAGTCAAAATGGCAGTGGTGCTTCTTTGACCTATAACTATCCCAAGCAAAATGCCCCTGCACTTGGGCTCAAAATATCTTAGAGCTCAGGTGAAACCGTGAATGGGATAAAATGGTAATTTCAGTTCTTCAGATAACGTGGAATTTTCCTCCAATGAAAAGGACGACAACAACGAGTTACGAATTTAGAGTAAAAGCACATACGCCAAATACACACACACACACACAGTGCATAAGGGTGATATATAAAATCCAATGCCACTTCACTGCTTGCTCTTTCCTCTCTCTAAAATCTTTCAGTCTCTGCAAATTAAACCCTCTTTAGCTCTCTCTAATGGCTATAATCTCTCTATCACTCCATCGCTTCAATTTCTCTCTCTAAAATTCCTCCGCTCCCTCTCTCTAGGGTTTCAACATACCTTCTTTGTCCATCTTTAATGTGAATTTTCTACTCTAATCATACTTTTTACTGTTGACGAAAAACTTTTACTTTCCTTTTTCTTTTTTCGCACGCTTGTTTGTGTATACGTTCTTTTTGGGGGGATTTATATGTTTAGGTTTTATATGTAGTGGTTTTTTCGTGAGTTTGGTGAACTCAGATGTCGTCGTCCGCTGCGCCGTCGTCGGCTACGAAGGTTTGCTTCAACACCAACTGCAACCAATTTATTGAACGGCCGAAGAAAGGTTGGCGCCGTCGCACCGGCGAGTTCGCTGACCTTTGTGATCGTTGCGCGTAAGCTTTTCTCCTTTCTTTAACCTTTTTCGAATTTTGAATTTTTTGACGCTTTTTTTTTCTAGCATTATTTCAAAAGACAAATTATTGAGTAACTGAATTGACAAGTCTAAATGGAAATGATATGGTAAAAGAAATATATCTTTGGTTATTATTTACAAAGATTTGATTTTTTTTCTTCTGGTTTCCGAGTATTATATAGTAAGGCTTACTTTAGATTTAAAGTTTACCTTAATTTAGCTAATGTTACTTGGTCTGCACTGCTTTAGGTCTATGATGTCTTTATTATGTTTCATGTGATTCAATTATGTGGATGCCGACAAAGGAGTGGTTTTGCTTCTGCTTGGGTTAATAGACTGAGGATATGCATTACAATTTCAAGACTCTTTCCTTTTCTTGCACCGAAACATTTTAGATGGAAAACTATCCACGTAAAAGTTGTTATTTTTATATGGATACCCTCTTTATACCATTTTTGATTGCTGCACTTCACATTCCGCCAGCCTTGTTTTGACCAATTTTTTTTGATAAGTTGTTTATGACCAAAATTATGATAAGGTATTTCCTTATTAAAACAAAATATTTTAATAAGTTATTTTTGACCAAAATTCTTGATCAACTTTATGGTTAAGCGAAATTGGAGATGTAGTAATTGTTTGTGTGTTTTATAAATAGTTGCAGAATGTGGAACCACATAGAGATACTGCAAATTACAATCCCTTTTTGCTTTGAAATATGTCTAGTACCTGACGAATGCTCGTCAGCAAATAAATTAGTTTACCTCCACTAGGCAGAAAGTAATAATCTTTTCTGGGGGTGCTACAAGTTTGTTCTCTCAGTAAAAATTTCAGAAAATAAATAAATTTAATGGGAATTTATTCTTTAGGGCCATCATCATTCCATGAGTTTGTTCCTTCTTACATCAATCAATTTATTTAATTTATAAAAAAATATGACCCCATGATTTTGGTCTGAACTTTGTCCTAACTAAAATCACCGTCTTGGGATTAGGAAACATGTTTTCCTGTTAACTCAGTTCTGTGCTAAATCCACTGAAGAAAAATGAGCTCAACTTTGTTTAATAAAGAGACATATCAAGGATTTTATTTATATCATTTGCTGTACTGTGCTATTTAGGTACTAAACTATCCGTAACCATATGTAACCTGGCATAGAATGTGCTTACCAGGAGAAAACATTAGGTTTCGTAGTAATGATACCTTTATGCTAGCTGTTATCCTATGACTAGCATCAAGTCGTACTTAAGGTGTGACCTAGTGGTCAATGAATATAGAATGAACCATGACAAACCTTGGTTCAAATCCCAACAAAGGCAATAAATGCTAGGTGATGTCCTACTATTTATATAAACCTTGGTGTAGAGTTGCCCCATACCTATGTTGCTAAGAGGTAGTAGGTAATCAATAAATTAGTCGAAATGCACGCAAGGTGGCCCATAGACCATTATTACTAAAATAATGAATCATTGAGTCTTATTCCTTTGGGTCACTAATTCACTGTTGACATATTAAGGTAGATCACTTGAAAATACGGAACAGTAAAATTTTGTTTCTTGTTACTTTCAAGGTTAGATCTTATAGATTCCCTATAGGAATAGGTTAGAGATGCAGTCTGAATCGTGGTTTGGCTACGGATGTACACACTTTGTTAGCACTTTCTTAGTTTATCTTAATACAATCATTACCTTCTAAAAAAGGAGAGGTAACCATAGATAAAGTAGTCAAAGGACTTAATCCCCCGAAGAACTGACCATTTATCTCTTCTTTTATGTTGTTTTCACATATGTGCTTCATAAGTATGGGACTTGAGTCATGAAAAGATGGTCCTACTATGATGACCATTTTCGGTGAGCAGTTAAATAGAGATTTGGTTAAACTTATAACCTACTTAAATGTTCAGTTCATATGTGGAAAGAAAGTTTTAAAAACTGCTTCTAGTAGAAAAGTTGATAAGTAGAATTAAGTTGAAATTCAGAATTCAGTTCTCTCGCTTTTATTGGCTCCATTATGGTCATGTTTGGACCTCATTTGAGCTTGAAATTGATCTTGTGAAAATTAGCTGTAAGATATTCTTTTGGGTACACAACAGTTTGTTAGCTTTATTCTTTTATCTCCTTTTTATGACCATAAATCAATGTTTATCAAGTGTCGACGACATGCTCAGAAAATACAAGCTAAAAAGATGGCACGCCTTAACTGTTGAGTACCTGGCTGAATGTCCTAATTGATTATTTTATGATGTAAATCGATCTTTTGGTCAATGGTATATGTTGTACATTACCTTATGCTAGTGATAGTCCATTGGACATCTCAATTTTTTATAATTTTGATTGGAGTTAATGTATATTAATGTTCGCGTAGTTCTGCTTATGATGATGGCAAGTTTTGTGAGACTTTTCACCTCAAAACTTCTGGATGGAGATCTTGTGAGTCTTGTGGAAAGGTGAGTAACACATTTTCTTTTTCATTACTTGTTGCTGTTATGAAGTTCCAACTCTGTTGGAACTTTTTTTAATCCTTATACTGGACATGGTCATGCTACACCTTTGTGTTTCATGCTTCTCCTGTTGCAAGAGTTTCTTTGAGTCTTGATAGGATTTGTTTTCCTTATGCAGCAAATTCATTGTGGATGCATTGTCTCTTTCCATACATTCGTTCTGTTGGATGCTGGAGGTATTGAGTGCTTATCCTGTGCAAGGAAAAGTTTTATTTTGGTAAGAGTCATCTATCCTCCCTTGGATCCAGTGGATGTGATGCTAGTTCTTTTTTAAATATTTATATTAAAATTTCACCAAGATGTGGCAACTTTCAGAAGTATGGCACAACAAACAACTACAAATTCAGCCCAATCAATCTAAAGGAAACAAGCACAAATCGGAAAAGGAAAAACTATGACCCTTCCCTCCTGCATTTGGTCTTGTCTCAAATCTTAACTTAAACCAAAATTAGGATTTCCACTAACCTACACTAAAAATAAAACCATAGTTCTGAAGCAGGGTTCATATCTCAAATCTTAACTTAAACCAAAATTAGGATTTCCACTAACCTACACTAAAAATAAAACCATAGTTCTGAAGCAGGGTTCATATCTCAAATCTTAACTTAAACCAAAATTAGGATTTCCACTAACCTACACTAAAAATAAAACCATAGTTCTGAAGCAGGGTTCATATCTCAAATCTTAACTTAACCAAAGCTAGGATTTCACATGGGTTAGGATAAGTCCATGTGAAATCCCTACCATATAGCACAACAATCCATCTTCGACTGGCACAGAGTTTTATCTGCCTCTGTTCCTGGTTACCATTTAACTATTGACAGATATGTCAATGTGAAATTTGCATAATTTCATCACTTTGAAGAACTCTATCCGCCGTAATGACCAAAACATTCTTCTTGTCCAACCCAGTACAGGCTGTGGTAAAAGTTCATCGTCCCAACACTAAGAATAGCTTCGCCCTGCAGTGATTACCTTCCATAAGCATTCTTATGTCTTACATCAAATTACATACCTTTACAGCCCAATCAACGGTTATATCTGTTGTCCATTACAAATATTGAATCTTTCAGCCAAACAAGTTTTGAGGAAATTCGATAACTTAACATTTCCATCTATTGAGACTGGAAAATTTCTTCATTTCCCAGCTTCGATTACCAAAGGTCACCATTGAGATAGTGCTTGCCAAGGGTCTTGTCTGAATGGCCTTGCTGGATACGTGTTCCTATGTCTCAGAGAAATAATTCAATCTGAAAAACAATAATCTTAGTGTTCATCGGATTTGGCGGGCTTGTTGGAAAAGTGGTCGCCAACCTTCTAGAACTATAACTTGTAATGTTACTGTTTATTCAAATTTTAAAATCTAGCAAAAAGAGGGAGCTTCTCTCTCTAGATCACGGGTCAATCGACAATATCTTTTGATGCACGTCCACTTTCGTCACGGAGTGGAGGGGGCTTGTCGTTTTGGATGGAGGAAAAACTTTTAAACTTTGGGAATTTTTTGGGTGTTTCTTTTGAAGGAAAGGAGGATAGGGTGTTAGAACTGTTGAGGGAGATTGAGCAATAGTCTTTCTTTTACGGTAAAGGGTGGGAGTCGGGTCAAGGGGTCAGGCAACAAAATTTAAGGGATGTAGCGGTGTACCAGAGAAGGGGCCGGGTGAGCGATGGGGAGGAAGAGAGTTCGGCAAGGGGGGCCGAGGGAAAGGGGGACACGTTGCTTATGGAAGTTAAGATCCTTTCATGGAATGTGAGGGGGATGAATGACCCAAACAAAAGGGCCATCCTCAAAGTGGGAGTTAGAGAGGGGTGCCGATCTAGTTTGTTTCCAGGAGACGAAAATGGAAGTTCTGTCAGATGCGATTGTGAGGAGTGTCTGGGGAGGTAGTTGGGTAAAATATGATTGAGTTCCAGCAGTGGGAAGTGCAGGGGGCATTATTCTTATGTGGGATGATAGAAGTTTGGAGGTAAAGGAGGTTAAGAAGGGTTTTTTTTTCTCTAGCAGCCCTAGTTAAAGATAGGGCGAGTGGAGTGGAGTGGGGGTTTGGGGGAGTGTACGGTCCGGTGGGAGAAGGGACCAAGGCGCCTTTCTAGGAGGAATTGGCGAATGTTATGGGGGATTGGGACATTCCATGGGTCCTAGGGGGAGATTTCAACACTATTAGATTTCTGGAGGAGAGATTAGGATGTAATCTGATCTCGAGGGCCATGGAGGAGTTTTCTGACTTTATTAATGATCACTTTCTCATTGATCTTCCTCTGTCAGGGGAAAGATTCACTTGGGCCAGGGCGGAGGAGTCAAATTCAAGGTCTAGACTTGATAGATTTCTGATTTCGACATCCTGGGATGAGCTGGTTCCACATGCACTTTAGTTTCCTTTACCAAGGCTGACTTCGGATCATATGCCAATTATGCTAGATGGTTGCAGAGGGAGAGGGGTGCGTGCTCCTTTCCTTTTCGAAAACATGTGGTTGAAAGTGCCAGGTTTTTGCGACAAAGTGAGAGAATGGTGGACAAGCTACAGCGTAACAGGAACACCTTCATTCCATCTTTCAAAGAAACTATAGCTGCTCAAGGAAGACATCATTAGGTGGAATAAGGAGGTCTTTGGGAGGGTAGAGGTTAGAATGAGGGAGCTCATGCATGAATTGGGGGAATTAGAGAGAGGGGAAGGGGCGAGGGTGTTAGAAGATGCCGAGAAAGTGAGATTGAGGGAGGTCAAGAGGGAAATAGTCGATTTAGCAATAGCTCAGGAGACTAGTTGGCGGCAAAAATCGATGGCACTCTGGTTAACGGAGAGGGATTCAAACACTAAGTTTTTCCATAGGGTTGCGGTCTCAAATCGAAGGAGAAACTACATTAATTCTTTAGATGTGGATGGGGTGAGGGTTGAGGGAGATGAGGAGGGAAAAGAGGTGATAGTGGGGTTTCATGAGAATTTGTACAAAGAAGAAGAAAGCTGGAGGCCTACTTTGGGCGGGCTAGATTTCAGTCACATAGGGGAGGGAGACAGTGAATGGCTAGAGAGGGGTTTCGATGAGGAGGAGGTTCACAATGCTGTATCAAGTTGTGCTGGTGATAAGGCACCTGGGCCTGATGGTTTCTCGATGGCTTTCTTCCAAATATATTGGGAAGCCATTGAATACTTCCACGAGAATGGTATTTTCGAGCGAAGTATCAATGCTTCTTTTATTACCATTGTGCCTAAAAAAGAAGGCTCATCCTTTATCTAGAGATTACAGGCCTATTAGTCTTGTAGGGAGCACTTACAAGATTATATCTAAAGTGCTATCCAACAGACTAAAGAAGGTCCTTGATGTGACTGTCTCGTCACCGCAGAGCGCGTTTGTGGAAGGTAGGCAGATCCTGGATGCCGCCTTGGCGGCGAATGAACTTGTGGACTCCAGAAGGAAAATAGAGAACATGGATTACTATGCAAGCTGGATCTTGAGAAAGACATTTTACCATGTCAATTGGGATTTTCTGGATTTCATCATGATGCGGATGGGTTTTGGGGCAAGATGGAGGGGATGGATAAAAGTTCTGCATTTCCTCAGTCAGATTCTCACTCCTGGTAAATGGTAGCCCGTGCGGTTTCTTTGGCAGCTCCAGGGGACTCAGACAAGGCGATCCCCTATCCCCAAAGTTATTCATTCTAGTGATGGATGCTCTGAGCAGAATGATGGATCGTGCGGCGGCATGTGGTTTTTGATAGGATTCTCAGCTCCAATTGGAGCTATCAGCGACCGAAGAGTATCTCATTTGCTTTTTGCCGATGATACTCTGGTTTTCTGTGATGCCAATATGGATTAATTGACAAATTTGAAGCAGATGATTCCAGATTGTATCCGGACTCAAAATCAACCTCGGCAAGTGCGAGATTTTCCCGGTGGGTGAGGTTGCTAACATCGATTCTCTGTCCTATGTTCTCGGTTGCAAGGTGGGCTCCCTTCCCACTACTTACCTGTGACTTCCCTTAGGATCCTCGTACAAAGATACTGCAGTTTGGACTCCAGTGATCGAAAGAGTGGAGAAAAAATTAGCAGGCTGGCAGAAATAGTATTTGTCAAAAGAAGGTAAGGAAGTGCTTTATCGAGTATCCCCCACCTACTACTTGTCGCTGTTGCAAGCCCCTGCGAACATCATAGAAAAACTGGAGCGACTACAAAGGAACTTTCTCTGTGATGCGGCAGATGGCACTAGAAAGTTTCATCTAGTGAATTGGGAGACAGTAACCACCCCAAAGAAGTGGGGTGGACTTGGAGTAAAAGACCTCCGGATATTTAACAGAGCATTGCTGGGAAAGTGAATGTGGAGATTCGGGGTAGAAGAAAATGCTCTATGGAGAGAGGTAGCAGTAGAAAAGTACGATTCCACAGTAGGGGGTTGGGGGACCAAGGCAATCACAGCGCCTTTCGGATGCGGCATGTGGATGAGCATTATGAAGAATTGAGAAGCATTCAATGCAAACATAACTTACAGAATGGGCGATGGAAGGAGAATATATCGCTGTGGTATCAAAGGTGGTGTGGAGAGAATACTCTGAGGGCCTCTTTCCCTAACGTCTTCAGTGTCGCAAACCAGAAGGAAATGACAGTTCAACAGATTCGCATGGAGCATGAAGGGGTGGTAGTGTGGTTCCTATCTTTTAGAAGGAACATGCAAGATTGGGAGATTGAGGAACTCCAAGACCTATTGGCACTACTATACGGGCAAGGCACGCACCACCAATCTAGTGATTCTCGGAGATGGGGGTTGCGTGCTGATGGTTTGTTCACCGTCAAGTCTTTCTACCAGAGTTTGCTTGTGAGGGAGGAGACCACTTTTCCTTACTCATCTATATGGATCCCTAAAGCGCCCACGAAGGTGTTTTTTTTGCATGGTTAGCAGCGTGGGGTGTGATCTTGACAGCAGAAAATCTCCGCAAGCGAGGAATTACACTTGTGAGTTGGTGCTACATGTGCAAAAGCGCAGGGGAAGAACTGGATCATCTTTTGTTGCACTGCCGTGTCTCCTCGGCCTTGTGGAGGGTTATATTACATCTTTTTGGTGTCCAATGGGTGATGCCAAGCACTGTTAAGGAAATGCTACAGAGCCGGGCAGGTCTACGCAGGCGAAGAAAACAAAAGGCGTGGAAGTTCGCACCGCTAGCTCTCATGTGGATAGTTTGGAGGGAGCGAAATAGGAGAGTTTTTGAAGGAATTGAAT